CACTTCCTCTGTGGGGATTTTTCTAGTATGAGTGACTCATCTGAGCCGGTGGGTGGGGGGTGGGAGGGTAAGGGGGGAGTGACCCTTTTAAATTGTGGTGGTCGATCTGCCGAATACATAATTGTGGTCGCTCTTTTACAATGGCAACAACAGTGATCTTCCCCAAAGGTTCACATCGTGTCATGTCACAACTGAGCTGCTGTAGGTAGCATCATAGCATCACCAGTGCTAAAAGCCCTCCACAGCTACAGGAAAGCTAAATAAAGGGTAACTAGGCTAAGGAAAGGAAATTATAATCTATTTTAGCACGTCGACATGAATAGTAGCATAATTGCATCCAGGGAATGAAATTAAAAGAGAGCCAAGTCAAGGCTAAATGAGAGGTGGCTTTACTTCACACACAGCCAAGGTTTAGACGTGGCCATATGTGCACATAAATGCACACAGGCTCACATTTTTCATGCAAATTTAGCCTGTTTACATCATCACAGTGTGTTTGAACCACTGCACCAGTCTCGGCTTAGCATTTTTGGCTGGAAAAGCAGATGGTCATCTTGTGTACGTGCCTCTCGGAGAACCAGCGCAGGTTGGCTGTTTACATAAACAACATGTTGGCTGATGGCCACACAAAGGACTTTGTTTTTGTAGCTTTTTACGTGTGTTTTCACTGCTCTGTCAGGCTTCAACAATCCATTGGGGTTTGTTTTTTAGTCTTTGTTTACACACGGGGTTTTAGCGAAAATAGTCCACAACAAAATCCTTTGTGATTCAACAAACTGTGAAACTGCATCTTGCAGAGAGGCTCCTCAGTGACTCGGACTCATCACCTGGGCCTCTGCTCTGCCGCACAGCTTTTTCATTTTTAATGCTGGGGTCATTAGTTATGTTCTCATCTTACCGGCCCTAATTTCCTTTCTCCCGGAGTGCTCTCAGTCTCTGGGTCACATCAGGCAGTAACCTGAAGAGCTGTCAGGCAGAAAAGACCAGAAAAAAATGACCAAGAAGACCAAGTCAAAGAACCCAGACATACTGCATGACCTATGCCAGAGTAAGGCTGATAAAAAGTCATATTTTAACTTTCAGCAGCAGAGCAGAAACTTGACTCAACTTGCTCGAGGTAGATCAGCATGCCCCATCTGGATTCTTAGCACCTGAGGAATGTAGTCTACCTTTAACGACAAAATATGTACCGTCGTGTTGAAACAAAACAAAACCAACACCTCAAAAGTGCATTTTTGTCTCTGCCAATGCACGAACTGTGTCAGTTACATGACCCACAATCCTAAACAGTATCAAAAATGTATCAAGTTGTGCAAAATATGTGTCAACGAACATTTTTTTATTGTACCTCCTGTCAAATGTTTGCCTGCTACTGATACTGGCCTCAGAGTTTGTGTCCTGCTAACCCACATACTGTGTGTGCATGTCAACTTTTCCCCAAGACCTGAAAGGCAAGTGGAAAAGTTTTTCACCTTCAATCTCTGTTTACAAGGATAACAGCGTTTCTCAATGTGCAACAATTGCTATCCTTTTAAACACGGACGAGGCAATACAACTTCACCGGAGAAGATTTTACTAATCCAAAAATGAAACCTGAACAAATGTTTTAAGTACTTAAGTACTCATTTGTCCCTTACACAAAAAGTTGTTTAAGTAACTGGATCGTTTTTGCTAAGCCTCTCTTTGCCAATAAAGTTTTATCTAGATGACACTATGAAATCCAAATCTATAAATCCTTTTGCAGATGACACTATGTAAATGCATGAGTTAAATCTCCAAGTGTTTTTCTTAATTATGTCAAATTAACTCTAACCAACATACTTTATAGAGAATCAAATGCATCGCAATTCGTAAATTGCGATGCATTTCCGCCCATGTTGACTCAGAAACCGCAGGTTTTACTAACATTAGATCACAGCAAACACAAATAAATACACTCACACATTTGGGTTAAGACCAGAGTATAAAAACCGTACTGTATCCCTTATAAGATTATCAGACTATTATACAAAGACACAATGTACAATGAAGTAGTACTACAACTGGCACTTTGATGATCTCTGAAACAAAAGAAAAAAAAAGCACTACTAAATAATAATTGTTGAGCATGTTCCTTTAGTGCAGGCACAGAGGTGTCAACAGTGAACAACACCATGGTGGAAAAGCTGTGCCTTTTTTTTCTAACTGTTTAACACATAATATTTATCGTGTAGTGATTTTTGGCAGAAAGAGCCGCTCTCCACACTTCACATCTCATGGCTGCTGAAGCAGACTGAATGAAGTGGTTTAAGAGCCAATTTATTTTTACACAACACAGAGGAGTCATTGGTCAGCCAGCCACACCAAAATCAGCCGGAATGAGTTAAGCTCTACAGAGGAAGTTCCATCTGTACTCAAGCAACTTGGTACCATATTTGTCTGTGAATAAGTACTATAAAACAACATACACACTTTTTCATCATGGTGTGTACACATGATGTGCAGACATGACCAGCTAACAGGCAATATACAATTTTAAAAAAATACCAAAATGAATGCATGAAAAGCCCATTTCGACTACTCGTACCCCAATTAAGCATCCGCTTTTGAAACTTATGATTAAAACTGGCAGCCCAACAGAACAGGTACAGGTTGACATGCATAATGACTCCTAAGACACAAGCACCGACGGCATAAACTTGGTGTATTCCAAGCACGCCATTCAAACGTGAAGAGGGGACTAAACATAAATGTGAGATAAAGCCGGCCTTTGCTGAGAGGGTCGTTAGGCGTCCGTCAGCAGCATCAGCTCACAGCGGCTGTCACCGCGCTGCCTGTTTATTTACAGTCAGCAGCACTGACTTTATATGTATATTATGATTCCTCTCTCAGGTTGAAAAGAAAAAACAAAATCAAATGACTTTTTCATGTCTGCATCTAATGAACAACCATTCAACGCAGGTTTGTCAATGTTATTTGATTAAACATGGGCCATGAGTAATATTTCCCAAGAAGTAGGGAGAAGAGGAGAATACGTCAGAGTCCTCCCAAACAAATACCACCGAAAAGAATCAGAAAAAAAGCTGTGTGCGTAATGCTTTTCGCAAATGAAATCCCAGGTGGACAAATGAAATCAATTGAACTGAAACATGAAACTACGACAAAAAAGAATTGTATCTTCAGGACACCGCAGCTTCACAAGAGTAGACTGATAAATGTGCCGCTATTGACAGAAAATAGTGAGACCAAATTTCCAAAACACAAAAGAGTGGTTGGATAGAGAGAGGTGTCTGGGTGCATTAGAGATAGAGTGTTCTCTACACCAGGTTTTATTTTGGTGTTGACACTTCCCTGGTTTCATCTTATGGTAGTGCATTTTTTAAATATAAACTAAATACAGTAATAAATCAATTTAAAAAATCTTGTAAGTAAACCTATATATAAGAGAAAATGCTTTTAGCCTTGGAGACTAGTCAGCCATGTTGACAACAGGTCTGTTATGGTAAAGCTGTACACATCCAGCTGATGTACGTCAAATTAAATTACTGAAGTAGCACAAGACTAAAAACATTCTGTGGCTGGTTTGTTAACAATATTCTGGAAATACTAATATAATTGGTCTCAATTTATGTTAAAATGACATTCTTCTAAAAAAAAACAAACAAACAAAAAAAAGTCATTTTCGAGATGAGCAATCCTAAAGTAGAGTTTAGCGTAGCTACACTATTCCGGCTAGCACAACTGTCGCGCCTCACTACTTCATTTTCTTCTTCGTGTTTTTTGATTGACATTTCAAGATCGTTTCGGTTGCATTACTGCCACCTACTGGCTCAACTATTTACTAGTAATCATTTCCACCGCATAATTTCTTGACTTGCAACAGAAATAGAACTAGAGAGGAAAAACAGAACTACACTAGACCCAATGTTTAAAACAATATAATGTTTTGCGTAACACGTTAAAATGACTTAAGGGAATAACGTTATGTTACTCTATTTTAATGACATTTCCTCCAACAGCACCTCAGAAAACGAAGTGCCGAGAAAATTAGCTCTAAAAATTGATTGTTTTGTTCACATTTTAATTTAAACTGATGTTATCTGAGCTGCTGGAGATAAAATAACGGTCTTTGCTTTTGGTTGGAGGAAGTTGCAGTCGGAGCTGACAGCTGAAGCTAAGGCTCCAGGATGGGAGTGTGCTAGCGATGCGGAATTGAAACTCTACGACTGACACCGCCTTTGAAAAATGACCATTAAACCAAAGCCATTGACGAACACTAGTGTTTTCTCTTGTCTTTTAAACAAACACGAATCCACAACACGCGCAGCCGAACACACACCAAAGTTCATCAACCACCATACCACCACTACCCCCCACCCCCCGCCGCCCACCTCCCCTCGTTTACCCAGCA